TGTGTCTTTGTGTGATGCAGAAAAGGTGAACGGATGGTCTCTACATGCATGGTTCCCATCGTGAAGCATTGAGGAGGAGGTGTGCTTTGCTGGTGACACTGTTGGGAGTTTTTTTTGTTTCCCTCAGTGAGAATCTACAATGTAAATAGTCACGTGTCCAAAGTTTTGACTGGTAGTGTATGTGTGTACAAGTTTAATCTCATTTTGACTCACTGGTGTTTATGAGGAATTGGTTTGACACTCCTGGATGGTCCACATCATGGATGGCGGCAGCAAATAATGCAGCTAGTATCTCTAGATCAGTGAATACAGCCTGTAAGAGAGAAACAAAGAGGGGAACACTTTGAAAAATAGTTTGCAGATTGGCTCTTAACTATTGTTTCGTTTTAGAAGCTGTGTGGACTTCTTGTCATTGGCAGTTAAATAGAGATGCTTACATCTAAAGCTGGTGTGGACAGCAGTACATGAGTAGACTGAGTGACATCAGCAGCGTGGAGGCTGTTATGGTAGGCCACATTGGCATGGTAGTGGTCCTCCAGGGTCATCACATAGGTGACAAACGTATCCACAGGGATCCGAAAGGTCTTCAGTAGATCTCTTTCCTGCAATAGGTGCAGTCCACAGGAGTCATGATCACAGTCATTCTACATGCTATTAGTTGCTGCACATTTCATTAAGACCGGCCTCTCACCTGGAAGATGGCATACATTATGCAGCTGAGGGGTCGATTATTAGAGAACTCTGCCACACGAAAGATATTAAGGCCCCACTTGTTCAAGTCGTTCAGCTCCTGAGAGCAAAGAGAAGCACACATGTCACCAAACTGTCAGTGCTGCCAGTTCTTTAAGTCATAGTATTGATTTCAGTATTCGTGAAACATATAACATGTCTTATGGATACATGATACATTGGGTGTTATACTTCATCACAGTAGAAAAGTTTATTTTAACACAACTCTACTACGGTCCAGTGTAGACATAATGTGATGATTGCTGTCAGTGTTTTGGAGTGAAATTCTCTTTACATGTTCTCACAGAAGACTCTTCAAACAAGAATGCAAACAGGAATTTAGTATTAGAATTAGATAAATAAATACAATGTGCTGAGAAAGTAGGTTTCACTTCCGTTTACCCTGGCTAATGCATCCTCGTGTTCAGTCTTCACTCCGAAGCGAGGCAGGGCGGAGTTGGAAAGGCTGGAGCTGTGCGTGAGCTTCTTCACACCACTGATGTGACACATGGGCTTCTCCCTCTCCCTTAGGGTGGGGGACGGGATCTCCACCTCGTTCTGCTTATCTGCAACGAGCAGAAGTCAGAGATCAGCTGCGGGTGAAGCTGCTATAAAAGTTGGCAACAAGTGGGCGGCAGGTTTTCTTTACCTAGAAAGGTAGTGGAGATGTATTCTGACACTTGGTTCCCTGAGCGACTCATCTCTGACAAATGGGACAGCTCCCTGTTCAACATCCTTTTAAACTGAGGGGAGGACAGACATTGACAGAAGTGAGTGCCTTGAACAGTAGTTAGAACATAGAAGCATAAGACATGTGTTACTGACATATCCAACTATATATTAACACTGTAATTTAGATTCCATTTGCACTGATATATAACAACAAAATATTCCTGTGATTCAAATATGAAAAAATAAATTATCACCCTCATTTGCTAAAGGGTGAGAAAATCAATTATGAATCATGCCTCCTCCTTTTCTCAGATGAGAACAGACTGTTCAATACCCCGACTCAGTGTGCTTGATTTCCAGGGATGTGCTGCAGTAATGTGGCATGTTTCTTTTATGTATTCTTTCCCATACAACTACAGTGTCAGCTGTGAACTACAGACACAAATATGATTAAATGAGTACATTATCCATGCAGACAGACTGAACACTGTTCCTGAATCTTCTCGCTGCGTTTATGTAACGTTTTATTGTCATAGCTCCACACGATGATTTGGGAGACTTAACAGTTCCCTGTCAGACAAGTTATGTGAAAGCACAATGCAAATCGGACAGACCCCTCAGTCTGTGTCCCACTGACTGATCTTTCACACATAACAATCTCCATGGCAACCCGAGCAGTTGCCATGGCAACTGCCTCCTCACAGTCAGTCCTTCAGCTTGATGTGAGAGCGGTGGCTTCTTGGGTGACAATCTGAGGGAGTAGGCAGGTGTCTCTGACCTTTACCAAGGTCAACCCTCTCCTCCTCTGCCTCTGCTCCTCGCTACAGCTCTGTGTTACTTAAAACTGCTCCTCCCTCCCTCTAGAGGTAAACAGCATTCTCCATTACCTCCCTTGAGCTCCCAAATCCTTCTCTGTCACAAGCTCCTCTTTGTTTTCCTTCCGTTTCATTTTGTGCAACACCCCCATCTCTCACTCTTATCCCCATAGTTATCTCCCATTTTCCCGTCATTTCCTGGCCTGTCACCCCTTACATAATAAGCCAGGCAAATAGCTAATTGTAACAATAAATTGTAGGAGCAATCAGGCAGAATCAGCCATCAGCAGCCAGGAAGGCCAGTGAAGCCCAGTGGCACACTTAGGCAAGCAGGCTCAGCCCAAACCTCCTCCTCCTCTCTCCCGCTCTCTCTGGTTCTTTCCTTCCCTAATGCTGTAACGCTGAGTCATAGCTGCCAACCAACACTTCTACAGTGCCAGTCCGAGTGCCAGGACAAACAACACTCTTCCTCTGATACAGACTAATGAAGCAAACATGCAAACACTGTTCAGACATGACTGTGGGCTCACACACCTGCATATGTAACGTATATATCAGGCATATATCTTGTCTAACCGTCATGAATAAAACACGTGGAAGTATAACCTGTACGATCTGTACTCAGTGATACAGAGAAATCAAGTAAATCCTATAATCCTAATTCCTTTTCTTTTTATTAAGTGTCGAGATATCCCATCACATACAAGTCTACAAATTTCATTTATTAATAAAAACCTGTGAAAATGTATAAATTTACATAGTCAGAGGGTTAAATAACCAAAAGGGGGATTAAGCATCTACACAGAACCAAGACAATAAGCTTCTCCTTCACTGACAGCATGCTTGCCTTCTTTTAGTCTGTATTGAGGCCAGCTTCGGGGTAGCAGGAGAGCACCAGAGAGAGGGATGTGGGACGCAGGTGTGAAGGATAGAAATGGCCATTATGTGTCACTGCATCGTACCTGCAGTAAAAACTGCTGGACTACTTCATAAAGTCCCAAGGCTATTTCTCAGATTATAAGCAGCTCGGTGTACTCTCACAGGACACAGATGTAGACAGGTTATAGGGGGATGAAGAATGAGACTGATATTATTGTCTTTTTGTTTACAGTTCTGCTGCAGTGTAAAAACACTGGGCAGAGTTAATAAATTCTGTTCCCTTATCACTGTTCCTGCTGAGTAGTTTCATGTAAATTATCTACAGGAATATACTGGCCAGCATTCTGACTTACTGTTTGAAATAAAGTCCCTGCCAGACCCAGAAAGTCTTCCAGCACCACATGGAGTCCACATAAAACAAATCTAATGTAGCACCTTTTAAGATTTCCCCTTATAAGCTCAATATATTCACAAGATGACGCAACAACTGGTGAATTTTTAAAAAAGACACATAATGAGGGCTAGCTAACAGATGAGTTGTTAATGCATGCATAACACTTGTAGAATTCACAGCATCCATCCAAGATGGCCACCGCCAGGCCTTGTTTGTTTTCTGCAAGTTCCCCGAGCCCTACCTGGTCCCACCAACCGATGAGCCAGGGCTTGGAGCAGGTCTCACAGAAGAGGTCCACTAAGGGTGTCCTGCGCTCTGCTGTTGTCCCACCCCCCTCCAGAACTCCTCCAGCAGCTGCACCGAGGTCCAGCTCTGCCCCTGCCCTCCCCTGCAAGGGACTGTAGCTGGAGGAGCGGGGCAGCCTGTAGCCCCCTGGTACAGGCGAGGGGCAGGGGGACGGCGCTGGGTCAATGGCCTCCACCACACCCATGTTGAGGGTGACTGGGGGTTTTGGTCGATGGCACCGGCAGGAGGTTCGGTAGTGGAGTGGGGTAGAGGTGCTGCGAGTCCCCCAGTGGCATGAGGGCGTCGTCAGGGTGTGTGGGGAGAGGCCACAGCCAGTCAAGCCGGGACACTCCAGAGTGACGGCTGCCCCAAGAGGGGGTCAAAGGAACGGGGGAAGGGGGTGAGGGCAGGGGCTGCTGGTGCAGATTGTCCTTGCCTACATGCAATACCCCAAAGCAGGCCACCCAGTCACTCCTGAGTCAGGCTCCAGCCTCAGTGTGGTCCGAAGATGAGGGCAAACCAGGAGCCCCCTGGATCCGGCTGCTGTGGAGACTACATCTCATCCCATTTGCTGAGCAGGCTGACCCAAATATATAGTCACTGCAGGGTAAAGGTGGATGGGAGCCGAAAGAGTAAAGATGGAGGCAGGGGAGGCGGGAGACGGGGAGCGATGGACCGTCTGAAGGGCAAAGACAGCAGCGGATGGTGGAAATGAGTGGCAATGTAAGAGAAATGTAAAGAAAAAAAAAACAATGTCACGAGAGCTGGGCTGCTTCACAAACACTAAATTTAGATGATGGAGGTGAGGGCAATGGAGAGATGATGACGGGAGGACAGAAAGATGACTGAGGTTTCAAATAGTGGATGTAAAGGGAGCCTGGATAACAGGAGGACCGGGGAAGGGAGAACGGGCAAACAACTGATGACAGCAAGAGAACAGCAAGAATGGAGAGAAAGAGAGGGAGACAGAATGGGATGCAGGCAGGCCTGTAGCAGACAGTCAGGTTGAAGAATCAAACCAGAGCTGTGGTCTGGAAAGACAGTCTCCCTCTCTGCGTCGGCTGCCCCTCCCCCACAGTACGGATCCAGAGGCCCGGCCCAATCCTACCGGTGCATCAGCCCGTCTGTGCCGTCTCACACCGATCCCAGTAACACACAGTCAGAGCAGAGGCAGTCCGGCTGCCTCCTGATACCTCCGCAGCACAGTCCTCTGCTCCCAGTCAATCCGTGCATCAGCTGGCCAAAATGCCAGAGGTCTAATCCCGCTGCTTTAGGCTGCCGCTTCTCCTCAAATGCTCTGCCTCTTGCGCCATTTCCCTGGATGCTGTAGACAGCTCTCGCAAGCTAATCAGGCAGTGTGGCTGCAGGCGCGTGCATGTGTGTGAGTGTCTGCGCTCGCCTCTGTTCAGATGCCGACAGCGCATGTGCAACAAGACAGCATGTACGTCTGTCGGAAATATGTGTGTGAGTGAGGGTGTGAGTGTGAGTGAGAGACTGTGTGGGAATATTCATGTGTGCACCTCCATAATGGCAGCGTGGAGGATGTCTTATTTGCACCTTCTAAGACGCCGCGACATATTCACAGAGACTACGTTTTCACCAAGAGTCTTCCTCTCTCTCTCTGTACATTGTATGTGCACTGACACATAAACTATGTCCCTTCATTCATCACTGTGTTCTTTTCTCCCTCGCTCTTTTCATCACAAGCCTGATTACAAGCACAAAGAACGCTGCTAACTATTAACACAGAGGTGAAGCATGGGAAGAATTTCTGGAATAAAACCAACAAGGCACAGGATGCTGTCTCTTTAAGACAGAGCACTATTAAAGGAGCATTGCCTGTGCTTCATTGGTTGTTGCCTAAGCCACATGGCTTGTGGTCAGAGTGGGAAGCCAATGACAAAAAAGGGAAGGGCAGACCCTGCTGCTGTTCGGTAGCAACCAAGGTTACAGCAGAGACATCAGCATCAGGACCTATCCACCCCCCCACCCCCTTCCCTTGTCCTTCCCACCCACAAACCGTCACATCCCACCCTTCTCTACCGCTCTCTCTCTCTCTTCCTGTGCCCGCACAAACAAAAGTGCATGCACCTGTAAGAATCCTGCCCATGTGCACACATATGACATACAAACATACTAATGCAAAAATGCACCAAAATTCAATACTGCTTACAACCACACCAACCGCTAGAGTTGTTTTCCCCCCAGCTTTTCAGTATACCAACCAAAAAGGAAAGCACTAGCTGAACACAGGACTCCACATCAGTTATTTATGAATACCACAGGACTGCAAATAAACCCAGAATTACTGCAAATGATCACTTTTTTTAAGTAGCACATGAATACTCCAGCTGATGAGTCATGTGCTGAGCAATATTGTGTGAATATGTGTGAAGGTCACATGTGACAGGCACTGGAGGAGGCTGGAAAAGCCTTGTGGATCAGTTTATATGTTGCTCATTATCTCAGCAGGGCGCTTACGCCGAGGTAGGCGAACAGTGAAGGTGAAGCTGAACATATTTGTGTGCGAACAGGTGCCCACCTTATTGGAGGCCATCTCGCTGACTGAGCGGTGGGTCTGAATGGTTTCCAGCTGGTCCAGACACCAGTCCAGCTCCTCCAGAGTTTCCCGAGCCATCTGCTGGTATGTCTCTTCTGGCAGGGGCACACACCACACATAGTCAAAGTATAAATTGGCAGGAAGTGTGAAAAGAGCAACAAAAAAAAGAGCAAAAAAAGTCACATAAAGGCACTGATGAGCTAAGATTATGCTCCATTTATGGAGATCTGGGTCACATTCCAGTGATCGCACTTTCTGTCTTCCACCTTGGCTCAAAGATGACATGCACTGCACAGTACTGAATCATAATTAACCTAAAAAGCTGAGATTAGTGAAAAATAGTCTAGTGAAGCAACATCGCTGTGCTGATAATGTCATATATCATTCTGACATTTTAAATCAGGATTAAGCTTTTTAATACAAAAAGAGAAAATACCAGTTTTAATTATAAAATAAAAACTGCAAAAATAGTATCTGTTGAACACTTATTTTTCATATCTATTTCACAACCCACGTCTGTATAATAACTTTGAAAGAAAGGCAATGGCGGTCTTGCAAGCTCCTGGCTCCACATTTTCTCAAAGAATCCTATAAAAACTAAAAGTTTCAGTTTAAATGAAGCTATTCTTACATGCACTTTGTACATCTGCATGCAAGAAGTGATTAAATTCAACATTTTATTAACCCATATAGCCATAATAGCTTAAGCCTTATAATTAAGATCCACCCAATTTTCTAAAGTCTGCGCAGTGCAGTTGATTAAACATTTCCTCAGTAATAGCCACATAATATTATGTGATGTTCTGCGGTCATTAGGGGAGAGTGGGAGCCTTGGCGTGTCCTTAAAGGAAACTCGCTGGACAGAGTTTTAATTAGCTAACAACATACCAGAGAGTGTAGCTTGGGGAACAGTGGGTTGGCTTGTTACTGGTGACCTCCTGTGGACAAAGACAGCATTACATCAGTCTGAGACCTGCCCTCTGCTGCCCCCTGCTGGGGTTCAACACTCATGCAACATGGCAATATGTGGTTTTTAAAAAAGGGCTCAGACAGGAGATATAAGAATTTGTATTGATGTTTTTTCGTCTATATGCCCACAAACACTAGACAAGCGGAGGAGTGAATATTAACATTTCATCTGGTACTGAATAACACGGCAAGGTGCTTGTTTTAATAGTGCACACAAAGTCTCTTGTTTCACTTCAAAAATGAAAGCATCTAAAAATGACTAAAGACAAAGCCTGAGTTCGGCTTTCTTCTCAAAAGGCTTTTGTGGTTTTTGTAATCGTACAGCGAGGGTACACCACCGTGTAATTATAGATGCTGATAATTCAGTGGCGCATTGCTTTATATATCATATTGACGTGGAACTCAAAGCCTGCCAGCTCGAGCTCCTTCTGTCTACTGCATTACAAGGGAGAATAATTTTAGTGTTATTGACCGTCTCCATCGTCTGGGCACAGAGTCAGGGACATACACCTGAGGCACTGAGCTCTCTGCATTCAGTCTTCAGCTAAAGCTTGTTGGAAATATGCCAAATAATGCACATCACATATTCCTTGAGCATTGTCTGGTCATCATAAACTGGTTAATCATGATGACTAAAGTGTTTCCCCATGGGATCAAGGAAACCGAGACATTTGCGTACACACACTGCAAACGAAGCAGGCAGTCGTGACAAGTTAAGTGGGGGGGGGGAAGGGGTGTCTGACAGCATGATACTGACTTGTTAGTGGGTGTTGTGACATTGGCGAGGATGGTGAAGTTGCTTCTTACAGTTCGTAGGCTGGCCAACACCTGGGGGATGGATGGACAGCGTGGGAGGGAAAGAAGGAGGAGGAAAGAGGAAGGGAGGAAGCAAGGAGGTGGGGGGGTAGGAGGACAAGTTCACTGCACTAATTAGCCGCCTTTTTGAGCCATTTACAGCAATTAAACATGTCGGATGAGGTGCACAGGGAATACGTACCTGAGCGAAAGGGGTGACGATCATGTCTTCTGTATGCCTGCAGGACCAAAGGTGAAAACAAAAAGCAGAGAATGAGAAGAATATGAGTGGTTGTGGCTGCTGCGGTGCTCTGTGTTTGTGTTTATATGAGAGGCTGTATCTGTGAGCTGGATGTTTACAAAGACCTGTGTGGATCTAAACAGGAAAAAAAATCCCTGAAACACATGAAAGGTTTGAGGTTTTTTAAGCTTACTGAAAAACAGACCAGGAAATAGAGCACAACAGTCAATATTATGAGGATTCATCACGATTTCATTAGCATAATGGATGCATAATTACAATCCCATTCCCAATGCTGTGTTGATTGGGATAATGTGTAGTTACTGTGATGTGCGTGAGTGGACACTGTGGGTTTAAAAAAAACACGTTTCCATCCTGTCCTCAACATGATGGATCCAAGCGATGGCTCCGTGCTTACCCCTCACTGTTGATGGAGGAGTTGCGTGACATGGTTTTGGGGGACGTGTCGTAGTCTGAGTCTGAGCGGTACAGGAAGGATTCCCTGCGCTGGCTCTGGGGAAAAGAGGGGTGGAGCACCAACCCAGGACTCGCCTGCGAATCCATGGGACTGCGGCCTGGCGAGGGACCATTTTCTGAATCAAAGCTGCAGGGTGAGAGAGAAAAGAGAGAGTACAAGGGTTTTAGATGAGTTCCATTTTTGCAGGTTTCTGTTGCCGCCTTTCTTATTTCACAGTGTGGATAAACATTATCGAGATAACCCTGAATTCCCAGACACGAGTGACGATGCAGCTCAGCCTCTTGCAGTGTTTCTCCCTTTTTTTTGGAGTGAAAGTTGAAGAAAGCGATGTGACACTTTGCGGCATGAATGCATGCAGCTGTAACTCTGTGGTTCAGCTGGATTGGCAGGCTGCCACAGGGTTTCTCCAAGAATTACACTTTACTGACATGTCACTTCTCAGAGAGCATTGTGTTTAAGTGAGGAAAACGAGCCACATCAACCGCACATTCTCTCCGGGCCAATGCTTTCTCTCTATCTGGAGGCATGACTGATTGAGAATGTTGATTTTGCTACAGATCTGAGGTTAAAACAAACTACTGGTCGATTAAGGACACTCAAACTGAAGTCCTCCTGTGGACTTTAGACATGTAGCACTGCTGGGAAGAAGTTTTTCTATGACTTTTTCTGCCCCCCTTTTCTTGATTGTTGTGCAACACACATAAGGATGCACATGAGAAAATGCGGGTGAGGCAATACTCTATCCTAACAATGGAATGAGCTATATCCACTGATCTGATAATATGTTGCAATAAGTAGAAATGTGCCAACAAAGGCAGGGAAGAAGAAGAAGAAGAGTGAAAGCCAGGAAAAAAATCCTAAATACTTTTTAAATGGGTTTGAAAAAAAAAATGGACACATGTGCCGCAACTTCACCTATGGTTTTGTGAAGCCCAATTTTGATGCCTCTGTGTTAGCGTTTTGCCGCTATGTTGGAATTTTTACAACCTGAAGTGCCCAAACTCTATGTGGACAAAGGGGTGGATTGCTAACTTTTAGCTAATGCTAACAAGCTCCACTCTGACACTGCACGGATGCACAGCTCAGACACTGCTGCTAATTAGAGCTAACACATAAAATATTGGATTTTGCTGACTAAAAGCACGAGCACAGATATTTTGGATGGTCTGTTGCCCAGTCAACCGCAGAGCAAGCCATAATGTATGACAGATAATTCCATTAAAAACGCTCCAAAAGGTACCAAAACACAGACCTGTTGAAGAGGGCTGGTTCGAATTAGCAGAGGAAAAGTGTGCTCTGCTGCCAGATACCTCCTGCTGTGTTTCCATCAGCTTGTATAGACTCAAACAGTACACCAAATAGCAAAAACAATGGCAACTGCAAACTTGTAAGAGCAAGAGCTAAGAATTACAGGAGACCCATTTCATAAAAAAAAAAAAAAGTTCTTTTGTTTAAGCCATAGTTTTATCTTGTGCATTAAAAATTTCAAAGCACTCAATGTCTTTATTTCCAGAATATTCCAAATTTGAGGACCTTTAACTGTGAAAGACGACTGACCAAATGTTGTTTTACATTTCTATGCTGCTGAATTTTAAATCATACATTAACTAAATCGGGGGCGAGACCAATCACGCTTTCAAAAGTCAACCTTTA